AGGATGATCCCATGGGGAGCTGAAGGGCGAGTGTAGCACCGGCCGAATGGCCCATGAGAATGTAGCGGTCCTGAATGTTGTATCGGCGCTGGAGGAAGGCGAGGGCCGACCAGATGTCACGGAGGTGGTCCGGATGTTGCGCGCAGCGGAGCTCCGCCGGCGCAGTGACAGCGGGGTCCTGCGGGAAGAGGGGGTGCGGGGAGAGGCGGTAGTCAATACTGATGAAGCCGCGGATCTCATTCTTGGGAACAGAGGAGGCCTTGACGATTTCTCGGATGGAAGGTGTGAAGTCCTGGAAGGTCTTCCGGGGGTCTCGCCAAGCACCACCATGGATCCAACTAGTCGAATATGTGAGCTAGCGAAGCTGTCGTGATAAGAACGAGGGGCACTCACATGACCCAGTATTTGGAGGCATCGTCAGCGGCAACAGGGTACTCCCAGACGCCTAGCTTCTGAAGCTCATTGTCGGGAGTATAATGATGCTCACTATACTTCAACGAGACCGGCATGATGAGTTCTAGTTGAGGCCGAATTATTGTCGATAGGCGGGCGTCTTGTCGCAGTTTCTGTGAGATCAACGCTAGGTGCAACCAGGTAGAGCACCTGGATAGAGGAAGTGAGAGAGCGATAAGCCGCAACGCAGGCAACAAAGCAGAGGGGGTAACGGTTCCGAGAGTCTGGAATTCTCCGGGATGAATACTTGGCAATGGTCGTCGAGGCTTCGGGATGGTGAGGCGCTGCGTCAGGTGTCAGTGCGACCGGCTGCTGTCGACCTTGGGCGTTGGGTTGGGTGTGCGGTTGTTTGTTGCGCGCGACTTTCTTCACAGTTTGGCGGTGGTTGCTGATTGGAGTTCAGCGATAGCGAACCTCAAAGAATGGAAAGTGTGGGTGGGGTTCCGTCTTGCTCTGGCCGTCCAGTCTCCATGCTCCCGTCCCTGCATCGGCGTCTGAAAGGAACCGTTTCAGGTCATCCCAACTGGGAGGTGGCAGCCGGCGCACGGAGCACTTCCCCGTCCAAGTTTCCGTAAGGTACGGTACCTACCTACATAGTACAGCAAGTGGGCACCTTACCTTGCTTTGGTTCATCTTTGCTCGACCTTTCAAACCCAGATATCAACCTGGGTATGTTGACTCCCGTTGTGCCAGTCCTCGAATCAAGGGGCATCTTATCGCGTCAGTTGTCAGTATTCCTTGCTCGCCAATCGGTATTTGCTTCGTCCCAACCCCATGACTCGACGAGCCGCCTCGTACACTCGCTCCACAAGATTCGCCAAATCGTCCACGCAGATCAATTGTGACTCTGGACTGGCCGTGGATCTGAATCTGCAGAGAACGTGAGTCTCAAGCGCATACTATGTAAATAAATCGCGGCCAGCCGCTGGGTCACACCCAAAGTGGCACAGTCTGGCGACGCCATCACATCAACGTCGCTTTGGCTACTCTACGGGTAGCAGAGAGCCGCAAAACGCCTTTACCAACCTGGAACGTCAGCACTCATGCCATACGGACAGCAGTCTCGTTTGTTGGATTTGCGATGGCCTGATTGCGGAATGATGTCGGGCTCGGTTAGGGGATGTTGGCCGTTGGTGCAGCGTTACATTCAAGCATCGGACACCCCTCGTTCAGTCGTCCACGGGTGACACCAACGATTCTACCACAAGCCTTGACACGCAGAGCGGCTGACCGGAGCCGGCTTTTCGTCCCTACTATTCACGGCAAAGCTCGCGCATACCCTACACCAAGGTCCCGAGCTTTGTTCAGGGGGACTAGATGCGAGACCGGCATAAGGAGGCACATGGTGGAGGGCAGAGTTTGATGTTTTAATATCCGGGTGATGATCTGAACCAAACTTCAACGAGTCCCTTCCTTCTGCCGAGGCCACAGAAAAACTTGCGGGCTTCGCGCAGCTAAGTCACTGTGGACCCGGACCAGCGAATGTCGAATAAGCCTCAGCCGAGACCTTCCAGATTCCACAGTGAGGAGCCGCAAGAGGTCTCGAGATGTGGGATAGGTATCCGCAGGGCCAGCCGCCAGCCCACATACCTTGAACAGGCGACACGCACCTTCTTTGTCGGAGACAGAGGCCCTTGGAGGCTGACATGATTGCTCATGGGTAGCGACTCCTCCTGCCTGTTCCTTCTGTCTTTCCACTGCTGCAGATGGCTCGCGTCGGGCTCTCTGGCACCATCGGCTCCTCTGACCCCCAAGCTGCCGGGGTAGTTGGTGCTGGCCGCGGTCTGGACGCAGCTCTCTCTTAGGTCTTCGTACCTTGGCTGCATGTTGCCCATGCAAGCAATGCACGCGGACAGGAACCACTCCTGCGGCCGCTCTCGTAGACGAGAACCAAGACAACATAACCGGTGCTGGGCACAGACGGTGCAGAAGACGAAGTAGGGCCTTGATTTGAAGAATCATTCGACCCTCGTCATCGTCTTCTTCCTTCCATTCCGCTTCTAGAGCAAAGTCCGTGCCTTGGTCCCGTTGTCCTTTTTTTGTCAATCGACGGATGCGAACCACCACTTCACACAGCGACAGGACTCAGTATTGATGATGAGTTCCACATCCAATCCTTCGGGCGTGCATATTCACTCGTACACGCAACTTTTTCTGCAAGGCACGAGTCCATCGTTAATGGTGGCGGAGGACGCGGGACCCGACTCTTCCCCCGGGCTACGTACCGGACAGCATCGCCCATGATCCATCACGGAGAATGAGGACAACCGGGCATTAGATGCCCTCCTTCTCCGAGTCCTGGCCATCCTCCACCCCCGCCGGACCACCTGTCACTGACGGCAAGCTTTTGGCAATCTCCCATCTCCAGCATTCGTAGCTGACGGGCAGTAGCGAAATCTCCTTTCCCCAAGACTCATCAATCAAAATCAATACTTGCCAGCACGCTATTAACCGAGAGCGGAGCGGCGTTGTTTTGTCAAGATGCAGCAAGGACCTTTTGCTGGCACCAGCACAACCTTCACAGACCTAGGACGTGATGGTGGATCACCTAGCAGGCTCCAGAATGTCTCCGTTCTCGAATTACCGCGAATCGAAAGCGCGGTTATCTTCATCTACCGGCGGCCCTGCTCATCTGCCATTCATCGACACGTGCAAAAGTGCTGTCGTCTTTGAGGCAATACGAATCAGCCGTCGAATGGAAGAGACGCAGTGGTTCCTCGGTCCTCTGACGATCCGGGTCCATCCCCGCTCAGCTCGGGATGGACACCAACAAGCTGCAACACGCACAGCCCAGACAGGGGTAGGCGCGTCTTTTTGCTTTTGCCTTCTCGGTTTCTTGGCTTTATTGCAGCTCTCCCGTCCGCTGTCTCCATCTTCAATGCTCCCCCGACCAGACTTGTGTTACGTCCAAGTTGCTTTTTGGTCTTCCACTGGCCGGCTTACAACGCGGGAAGGGCATGGACGCCAACCCCCCTCCTCCATGGTTGAGTTGGATTGCATCCGAACGCCGACCGGTTTGCTACCCAGGCTCGAATTATCCAACCAGACGTTGCCGCTGCGTTGCTTCTTGCTTCCGCCAACTACATCGTTCGGGTCGTCGTAGCCGACTGCGTCACACAACTCGACTGGCTTGCCAGATGTCCTCCCCCTCATGATGCCGCGCCAATCTCTAGTGCAGTTTTCCTTCGTCGGCATGCCTTTACTACACTTCAGCAATTCGTGCCTTTCACTAGCGCGCATTATATTGCACGGCTAGTGTCCAGGGATGATCCAAATCGCTGGGTCCGACCAAAGATTCGTCTGCCATGTCTAGCGGGCCATTTTCCATGTTTTGACCCAGAGCCGTCGGTCCAGAATCGATCCTTGACTTCCAGCTTGATTGCTAGGCCCATCGTGACGGGGATGAAGCCCGGTCGACGCCAACAGGAAATAAGTGAGAGATGAATCACATCGGCCAAGCTTAGTAGCTTGCAGCGTTGGTCTGTCACTGTCTCGCGGGGCAGCACCGGGTTGCCTTGATGAAGATTTTATGTCTAGAGTGGATGAGATCTCGGGTAACGACTGTTATCCTTCCTGTTGCTGGAACAGGTTTGCTGCAGATGTCTCAGCAGAGAAGAGGCACAGCAACACGCCACCTCACACTGGGTTGCCTGTAAGTGTTAACCATTGCAATCTCTTCCTTCAGTCATTGGCACCGATATGCACATACCAGAAAGGATGCGAGGTGCTCGAACCAACGAGACGACTTGCAGACAAGCCTAGTTCGTTTCTCTGTGTCGTCGGGATGGTACTTCTGTCTACTAGATCATGCCTAGGCCCGGGGTCCCCATCGCTGCGCGTCGTTCCTGCAGCCCTCATCACGTACTATGTGTAGGTACGTGAGACGGACGCAGTTGCAAATTACAGCCGCAGACTATGACCCGGCATAAGTAGTGTCAGCGATTACAACGCGTTGATTTGTCTTCCATCACGCCGGAAACGCAGGCTGTAGCAATCGCTGCCGGTCATGAACTTTTCCTATCCACATCCATCAAAACCTGTCGTCTGCTTCAACGTAGGGAGCCTTGCAATCGCCTACAAGCTTTCACACCCTCTGCGTACCACTACATGCACAAAAAAAGTAAAGAAACTACAAGTCAAAGAAGCCAAGATTCCCACCTGGCCAGGCCTCTGAAGTCCCACTGCCTCTCTTCCCTACAAAGTGCTTCACCACCATCCCCATTCAGCCGGACCGGACTGGCGCACGTCTGTACCCCCGTCTCTCTCCACATGTCGACCCTGTCCTACCGGGGCCCATCTCCGGGGGTCTCAGACTCGACGACCCTCTCTCGTCCGCCTTGAGCAAGTTAGGATTCTAGCCCATGAACCCTTTCAGCCCGAACCAGGACGGCCCCTGGCAGTCCAGCACCGTCTATCGTGGTTGATCAGCTTAAATCCCATCGGGCCGCATACGAAACCACCCCAGTCTGCTTCCCTTCTCTTTCCTCCCGTTTGGCCATGCTCTTCTCCCATTGTCATTCCTTAGAGCATCGCAGTACCACAGCCCTATGGCTGAGGTAGACTTGTCAGAGAGCAATGGTGGTGCTCTCGTAGCCACCGCCGTTACATTCCTTATTCTCTCTTGGTTCTCTGTCGTTCTCCGCGTCTATGTTCGTGCTTTCATGACCAAGGGTTTCCAAGCAGATGACTGGCTCATGCTTGTTGCGCAGGTGAGTCTCGCCTGCCCCAGTGCGTGCAGCGATTCATCCTAACTAGATGGACGAAGGCAATCTTTACCCTTTCTTGCGCTTTCATTCTCGTGGGTGTGCGTGATGGGCTGGGCCATCACAACGTAGCCCTCCAGCAGAAGGAAGAGATATCGGCTTTAATGGTATGCTACTCTTGGCGCTTCAGTAAGCATCCAGTCTAACATTTACGTGCAGTACCAAGCCATCGCCACGGCAACATATGTCCTTAACATGCTCTTCATCAAGCTGAGCATCGGGTTATTTCTGTTGCGACTGTCGACTTCCAAGGTTTACAACTGGATAATCTACGTCAGTTTGGCGATTATTACTGTCTGGAGCACTGTTATCTTCTTCTGGAATATATTCCAATGCTCTCCGGTAGAGGCGCAATGGGACAACACAATCGTGAACTCCCAGTGCGTGTCGCCAAACGCGGTTGTTGCAGCAGCCTACTCAATCAGTGTCATGACCATCCTGAGCGACTGGCTCTACGTGAGTTTTGTCTTTGATTTGATGGCGTTTATATGTAGGTCAAAGCAATTTCTGACTTTGCAGGCTCTGATTCCTATCCCTCTTATCTGGAATGTCAAGATGTCGAAGCAGGCCAAGGCTACCGTGATTGTGATTCTTGGCCTGGGTATCTTGTAAGTTGACCGAGCCTCCGTAAAATAGACGCTGAGCTAACCGGTCAACAGCGCTAGCATCGCCACATTGATCAGACTCAAGTTCCTCGCTGACCTGAGCGACTTGAGTGACATTTTATGTAGGCTGTCCACCCAGCCTCGGACATGGATCCGAGGAACCAGTATAAAACGCCCACGCATAGATTATGCTGACCTCGCTTACAGTCATGGGAACCGACGCCATGGTGTGGACTCTTGTCGAACCGGGCGTCGCAATCGTCGCATCGAGTCTTGTTACCATCCGACCTCTCCTCCGAGCCTGGCGACTCAATGGATTCACATCCACCGACCGAACGCCGGGAATGAGCAACATGAGCGGGGGCATGAGATCAGGGCCCATGAGATCGGGAACAACAAGGTCGGTGCGCCGCCCGCCTGGGTACGACCTCGACGACATCGATAACATGGAAATGGGTGGCTTTGGGAAACACGACGGCGAGATCGGCTCGATGCCTCGGGAGCCCACGTTCGCGGCTGTATCAAAAGAGACGGATGGAGGACAGCTCACACCCGATTTCATGGCACCGCCGGACCGGAAAAGGGCGGACGTCGTCAAGAGCGAGATGTACATTATAGAAGGGGCGAATAAGTCTGGGAATACCTGGAGAGGGGGGAGCGGTTCGCCGAGCGCATCGTCAGTGGAACTCGACGGCCTTGACGCGCAGAGCCAGCATAGCGGCCGGGTTGGTCTTGGGAGAAGTAACTAAAACGAATTGGAGAGAGAAATCCACGACGATGACGACATTATCAAACTTGTGCTACATTTATACGGTACTCACGGCCTAAGTGGACATTCCGCTTCATCTGGGAGAAAGTGGTTACCGCCGCCAAACGCGGAGAAATCGCACAAAATCTTAGGCATTGGTAGGCCAGGAACTTCAAAAATAGAGCGTAGATGTATTTTGTATCATGTGGGTTTTACGCGGCCACCTCCGGCCAAGATCAATTTGGCTAAATAATGATTTCAGACGCTGTGAACTGAATAGCAGGCAATATCAGGCTCATTCAAAACTCAGAATGGATTCTGTTTGTACGCCTTCTCAGATTCCGCGTATGCGTCATAAGCATACAAGAACCTCTGGATCTCAGGACAGGTCCACCGCGAAGGGAAGCCAGGTTCGGGTTCCTTTCCGGGCTCTAGCGACGCCACCATGATCTCGTCGCGACGTTCTTGCTCTGGGCCATCCAGCATATGAAAGTCATCGCGCTGGCGGAAGGATTCCATGACGATGCGTTGGCCGCGGCCCATGCGGAGGCTTTGATACATCGCCGCCACCGCGGGAAGCTGCGCGGCCTTCGTCTCTCCGCTGCTCACTTTTCCAAGGAGATATCCCAGAACAGCTCCATCTTCCAGGGACGAGTTCGCGCCTTGTGCGAGATAAGGAAGCATCGGGTGACAGCAGTCGCCAGCCATGAAAAATTTACCTTCGGGGCTCGCCCATTCCTTCAACGGCTCGATCCAGCAGAGCTTCCATTTGTGCACACTCTCGACCTGGTCCAGAAGCTTGCGCAGAAGGGGATCCCATTTCGAGAAGAGCGAGCGCATCTCTTCAACGTCGCCCACGACCTTGGTTGATCCTTCGGGGAGGTTGTCGGGCGACAAAAGACCGAGGTTGAGCATGCGGCCTTGCTTGACGGTATACGAGACCCCATGGCCCTGCGGACCGATCCAGAAGTTAACCGTCTCAGATTTTATGAACGCCTCGAGCTCCTCCTTGTGGGGGCCTTTGAGTGAGTCGATGGGTATCGCAATGCGAAAGGCCAGGTCGCCGGTCAGCGCGGGCGGGCTGGGACAGTCAAGGAACTGAGCCCGGGTGGTGCTCCACATGCCATCTGCGCAGACGATAACATCGCCAGAAACGATGATACCAGGGCTGGACTTTGAGTCGTCGTCTATCGTGACTTCAGCGCGGTCGAAGTCGACAGAGACTGCTCGGGAGTTCAAACGAATCTCGACCCCGAGCGCCTCGCAGCGATCGACGAGAGCGCGCTGTAGCTCGACGCGGTGAAGGCCCCAGAAGGGATGGCCGTAGCGAGCTTCGATTGTTTTTTGAAGATCGGGTTCGTGGGCAAGGAGGCGGCTGCCGTCGTAGCGGAGGACAGAAAGAGTTGAAGGGAGGGTCGCGAGAGGTGCCAGAGCCGGGTAAAGGCCCCAAGCTTCGAGCAAGCGGGTTGCATTGGGCGTGAGTTGTAAGCCAGCCTGGGAAGTGTAAGCAACAGAGGGTCTCGTGGGGTTTGAATGATGCGCACCCCGACTTCTTGAAGCTCTTTGACCGTCTCGAGTATTGTAACTCGGTGGGATGGATTCGCAATCTTGGTCGCGAGAGCTGTCGCAAGACCTGCCAGACCGGCGCCAATGATGACGACATGCAGAGGTCCCGACGCAGCGGACCCCGATTCTGTACTCATTTCGGACAGTTGAGGGCATTCGCGAATTCTTGCAGTGAATTCAATTGCGGTCGTAAAGCTCGGGGGCGTAAGGGACGCACAGTGCTTAGACCGATCTTCTATTCCTCGGGTTCGTCTCCTCTTTCCAATACCACCGCAAGGAGCAAGAGGTGGAAAAAGGAAGGAAAACGTTTCATTTTGACAATAGGGATGAATCGTACGCCGCAGTAAGCGCTGTCGTCGTGGCTTGGGTCACGGAGTATATGCGTGTTGTGGGGAAGGCCGACGTGACGACGCCGTCCCTCATGTTCGTCCCATTAGCTACAGTCCGAACTAAAGTAGGGTATCTTTTTATCCTTTTTGGGTGTCCATCCGCTTTCACACCGTACCCTCCGTACATCTGTACATCTGATCAATGCAACGTGCTTTTCCATTACTCCAGGTATGTCTTGCGGAACTAGCCGCATTCAAGGACGGTGCGTGCAGTGTAATCCTCATCTGGATGTTCCTCAGTCCGAATCTTCGGCAATAACAAGATCCTCCGGATCGACAACCCATTCTTCCTCATCGCCCCAGGTCGGAGCGAGAACGAATCTGCCCATGATCTTGCCCATGCCAATACTGTCACCGCCAACAACTCCCTGCCTCGTTTTCTCGTCCGACTCCTCCACAATCACTGCCGTCGTCAAGAAGTTCATACCTGCGGCAGGACTGAGCTCCAAAGTGCGGCCACCCCAATCCAACTCGACTTTGCCTGATTTGCGGACCTTGAGCTTGCCCATCATGCCAGCTTGCGAGACGAGCTGAGAAACATCTGTAAGATCAATATTCTTGTCAACTTCCTCAATCTTTGGCTTGATGTTTTCATCCGATTTCGTGAGATCGACAGATCCTCCGTTCGGCTGATCGAGCATGACGACATCGTCTGGCTCGGGCTTGACCTTTGGAGCGGCAGAAGGATGCAGTGGCGGAAGGAGAGGGGGGAATTGGAATAGGTAGAGTCGGCCATCCTTGTCTTGCACAGCGCCATTCTCGGGTGCTTTTGAGTTCTCGTCCGAGACGGTGCCCAACTCGCTCAGCAGGAGCTGCATGTCCTGTGCGATCATGTCCACCTCAGGGTCAGCCAATGCCTTCTTGACCTTCGGTTCAGGGGTAGGCTTCTCCTCAGCCTCGTTGTTTGCTGACTTGACGATGCTGAGATCAATCTCCATAGCACCTGACTCGGCTCCCGGCTCTGCCTTGACCTGAACCGCACCTTTGGGTGCTGCATGCCAGACCTTCGTCTCCTCGCCGACCTGAGGCGTTGGACCAGACCATGGGCCGTCTTCGACCCAGAGACTTTCTTCCGCCTTGCCGTCTTCAGCAGCCTCGAGCTCAGCTGTTGTCGCAATAACCTTCTTTTCTTCCTTTTTGTCGATTCGCGCGATGCCCATGGGCCAGATGTTATCGGGCTTTGAGTTCACTAGGGCTGCCGTCGCTTCGTCATCGGAATCGGGTTCTCGGTCGACCAGGTGTCCAGCGAGTCTATCGGCATTGATTCTAGCTTCGCGACGACCAGATGCCTCCCCAAAGGCACCCCGTTCGCTCTTAGCACGGCCGCCTCCGCCGAAGAATCCACCGCCAGAACCACCACCGCCGCCGCCGCCGCCACCTCCCCATCCCCCAGAGGATCTCGAGCCTCCTAGGACTGAGTCAGTACATTTGATCATGGATTTTCAATATCCAAGCATACCTTCAAAGTGTATTTGCGAGAAAGGGCCACTTGCAACGGCAGTCCGGCCCATCATTCCGCCTCTGCCCATGGCATCTCCTCGAGCTCTCCGACTGCGACCGCGGGAACGAGCTTGTGCGCGAGCCTCCGCCTTGGCCCTCGCGTTATCTTTGTCCTGCTCCTGTCGAGCGAGGACGTCTCGCGACGCCTCATCTCTGCGGACAACTCTGGGTCGAAATCTGCCTGTCGAGGTACCTCGTGTGGATTGCCGCGTTGCGGGCTCGGATCTGGAGGGTGTGACGGTTGCTGAAGCGGTTCCAAGGGCCGAAGAAGGTCTCGAAGTCGGCGCAGGAGTGTCGCCGCTGGGTGTAGAACTAGAAGCTTGGCGGCCTCCTCTGCCTCTGGCGGCTCCTCGTCCGCGAGCTCTGCTGGCGCCCCGAGCCGGGGTAGTACCCTCGGGCATTGTAATTGGCTGCTCTATGTGCTGACTGTGGCTCAGAAGCACAATGAATGGATGAATAAGTAGGGTACAAGAGCAATTGCCGGCTTCAAGTCTTATGGCAGGGTCGTCGAAGTCATGAATGAAATCTGTATGTCTCCAGCAAAAAAAAAAAAAAAAAAAAAAAAATGGNGATTACTTAGCGGGGTGGGGGACTAGGTAAGTAAACGTCAGGCGCCTTGTAATTTTTAAGGGAAGTTCCAGTCGAGGTGCTGCACCCATGGTGGGGTGAGTCACCCACCCCGCGCGGGTCGCTGTCGCAGCAGTGGGCTTACCTTAGGGTAACTTAGGTATGAGGTATGGAGGCGTAGGTAGTGATGGTCGGGCGGGCATTCAACCAACGTCACCTGTTTTTGATCAGCTCGAAAGAATGACCTTGAAACGTTTCCTGAATAATTTCAAATATTTGAAGTAACACACCTTCACTTCACACACATCAATGCTTGCTCCCCGAAGATTCTGGTAATGTTGCCTTCCCGGGATAACATGCTTCCAATCCACAAGCGGCCGGCCTCGACAGTGCTCGCTCCAAACTTTACAATGACACAACCCCGTACTCTGGCCGCTGACCACAAGATGCTCTGCTTCGTTTCCATCTCTATGCGCTTCAGTCGCCACAACTCAGACTCGCTCAGATTGCTTTCCTCTTCAGCGCGCATCTCTGCAGACCTGAAATCTCTTGCGCCCAGGCGGGGTAGTGCTGCAAACTCGTCGAGGAAAAAGTTGCCAACCGACTGCATTTGCAGGCCGCGAAGAATGAGAGTACCAAATAACCCGTTGCCATGCATCGATTCTCGCAATGATCTCCCGACCATGCCCTGGCTGTTCCTGTCCAAAGTGACTGTGTCTCTCACGAGCAGACGCTTCTTGCTTCCTGGGGTCTCTGAAGAGGACCAAATCTCGTTGCGCCCAGACCATTTGACGAAACTCCAATCCTCGCCTCGCGCCGTTCTGCCTTGTGTCACCCAATCCAGCAGACACAGAGAGGCAGTCGGTGCTGCTGTGAAGATTTGGGTTTGTTCGTATACGCTTCCGTCAAAAGGCTGCACAGGATCCGGCAGGAGGCAGAGACCGGCCTCTTCGCCAATGTTGACCTCGAGCTTCTGGCGCGTGACGACGTCAGGAGACGGTGATTTGAAGATCTTGGTGTGACCCTGGGTGACAACACCGAGCTTCGCGTTTGGGAGCACACGCATAGACAGGTTCACGCTGTCGCCTCCAACGAGTCCGCCGCCGTAAGACAAGAGGAACACCAGGACACATTTCTGGTCGGCCGCTGGGGAGGGGGAGATGAGTTTCAGTGGATACTGGTATGACATGGCCTGCAAGCCCGAGAGCCCGTTTGGCAATAACTGAGCAACAATTTCGCCCTCCCCAGCAGCCGACGAGGACTTTGGAAACGGCGAGCCCATAGTTGCTGTTGTCGCGGCGTAGAAGTCGTTGATCGCTATATAGGGGCTTGTCAGGAAGAGTCCATCAGGTCATTGTTGATGCAAGAGGCACACGCGATTTCGGCTACCAAAGGTCATCAGAAGAGGCCGACGGAACAAGCAGCAGAGCAGTATCGATCGACACGGTTAATGGGACGAATGGGTATGTTGCTCACCTGAAGTGTCCGTTATTAGGTCTGGTATCAATAACACTGAGGTTCCAAGGTTGCGATGCCGGACCTTAGATTGCTCTGGCTTGCATTTGGCACTTTGTTGACTTTGCCTGGTATCTATCTATCTTAGTGGCATTGAAAAGTCAAGTTGCGGAGCACGTACTGTGCATTTGCCGTCACCCTGACCCGTGCGTCTTGCCAAAATGCTGTGAGTCGAGTCTCATACTCTTATTTCTCTGTACTGTGCACCTGCTGCAAGCCATTGCCTCCCCAACGATTGAGCATTAGAGCCACCATACTCACGGCATCCAAACGAGTTCCGTTATGTACTCTCACATCCAGCCGCACTCATGGCGCATTCGGTTTTCATTGGGGAAACAGAGTCGCAGGCGCATCCATCCCAGACGTGACAGCAGGGTTAGGGTGGGTACGTACCTAATGGCACCGCTGAGGCAATGTTCTTCCAGGGGCCGTCACAGTGCCCATGCTCCCACTTGACATGACACGCACAGTGCCGCAGCTGCTCGATCCACAGTCCTCCCACCCGCGAATTTGGAGAACTATTGCCTAAACATCTTCAACCGACTCGCATTGCCTGAACGCGACATTTTCCCTTGTATGCGCCACCTCCCCGACCCTTCGCTCATCGGCGCGAAATAATTGTCGCGACTGCTGCGATCATTTTCACGCTCCAGCAATCATTTCGCAAACACGCGACAACATGGAAAGCGCGACAGCATCTCCCGAGCCCGAGTCCTCGTCGCGTCGCCGGTCAGGACGCGTCGTGCGAGCCCCCGAGAAGTTCAGCCCAGAGCCTGTGACCGCACCAAAGCGCAAGAGAGGCCCCGACCACGACGAGGACGACGAAGAGAATGACGATAACGAGCCCCTGTCCGATGCCACGATGACCGATGGCGACAGCGCCGACGAACGTCCCCGCCCTAGGCCCAAGAAGCGATCTGCTGCTGCGCAAGGAAACCGCGTAAAGAAACCCGCCACCAAGAAGCCAAAGACCAATGGTGTAGGCCCATCTGGCCACTCAGCAAGCCTGCCATCACGGCCCAAGAAGACGGTCAGAATCGCTGCCGTCGACAAGGAAGGCAGTGGCCTATATGGTATGCAGCATCCCTGGAATGTAGCTCTGCCTTCCATCACCTCACACTGACATGCCTCTGCAGCGGAGGTCTTTGGCTCTGGTTTTTCCTCTGAACACGTTGCGGATAAGTGGCAAGAGAGGTATCAAGCGAATGATGCCCTCGCCATTGTCGAACTCGTCAACCTCGTCCTGCAAGCATCTGGCTGCGACCTCGAGATCACTGAGGACGATGTTCGTGACCCTGACAACTGTCAGGCTCGTCTTACTGAGCTTCAAGATCTTTTCCAGGAGGTAAGCTGCTATCGCTCTATTTGATTTCTCTTGTTGGCCAACTCTTTTGCTGACATCGTGAAGGAACAAGTCACAGAATACCCCCTCATCTCTAGGGCAAAGAATACCAAAGCCTTCCGTGACCTTCTCACAGGCTTTTTCAAATCTGTCGTCCGCAGTGTTCACGATACAGATGTCCTATACAACGACCAGACTCTGATGGAGAACCTCGTGCGCTGGATAGCATCCATGTCAACTTCGTCGCTTCGTCCCTACCGTCACACAGCGACCACCGTCATCCTCTCCCTGGTGTACGGGTTGATCGAGGTCGCTACAACTCTTGATGCGCGCATCACGGCAATTGAACAGCAGGTCGCTCAAGCCAAGAGAGGCAAGAACAAGGCAAAGCTTGCAGAAATGCAGCACAGCCTTGACGAGGCCAACAACAATAGAGAGTTGTGCGGCCACCATATCAAGGACTTCTTCGATACCACGTTTATCCACAGATACCGAGATATTGATCCACGAATCCGGACAGAATGTGTCGAAGCACTGGGATCCTGGATCTTGGGTCTTCCCACAGTCTTCATGCAGCCGGAATACCTTCGTTACCTGGGATGGATGCTTTCTGACACGGTTGCTTCAACGCGACAGGAAGTCTTGAGACAACTTGCACGTATTTTCAGACGTGGCATCTCACAACTTGGCCACTTTATTGACCGATTCCGCCCTCGCCTCATTGAAATCGCGACGAAGGATGCTGAGGTTTCCGTGCGCGTAGCAGCCGTGAGCGTCATTAATGTTCTCCGGGATGCCGGAATGCTCGAACCGGAAGAAATGGATACCATTGGCAAGTTAATATACGACAGCGATATTCGAATTCGGAAATCAGTAGTGAGCTTCTTCGTGTCTTGCGTTGAAGACTTCATCACTACCAAAATGGAGGAACTCGGCGGCCAGGATGCGCTGGATGAAGTTTTCGGCGAGATTGAAGAGGACGACTACGACTCGCCTCGCAGCACGTGGGTCAACATCAAGTGCTTGGCAGAGACACTTGCGGCATACGACGAACAGCTTGAGGGTGAACAGCAAGACGCGAACCCTCAAGGTCTAGCCGTTGCCGCCGACGTTCTTCAAGCAAGCGTACCTGATACTAGGATATCACTCGCTGCTCAGGTGCTCTTCGACAAGGTTCCGTTCGTCAAGGAGTGGGAAGTCCTGTCCGGCTATCTGCTTTACGATCACACTGTCAGTTCCAAGTCGAGATCCAAGAGTGCCTCTACGGAAACGGCTTTTAAGAAAGCTGTCGGTCCTGTGGGTTCTGAGGAGGCTATTCTTCTGGAGGTTCTCGCTTCTGCAGTGAAAATGTCCTTGTTACAATCGGCAGAAGCCGAAAAGGCTAGGAAGAGGGGCGGACGCTCCGAAGTCGCCGAGGCACAAGAAGACACTGCTCTGGATCTCGCGACGGCCATCCCTCAACTTCTCAACAAGTTCGGAGCCGATCCTGCCACTGCGACTATTGTTCTCAGAATGGAGCACTTTCTCGACCTTGAGGTTTTCCAAACATTACGGCAGGATTCGACAAAATACGAGAAGCTGCTGGATGAGATCAGCACCCAATTCAACAGACACGATGATAAGAGAGTCATTGCCGAAGCGGCTGCTGCCCTCCTTCACTCTCGACAATATGAAGAGCTTGAGGAGCTCACTGATGGAAAGCTTGCTGTGCTGTGGGAGAATGTCATTACAACTTTGCGTGGCTTCGACAAGACATGTGAGCTTTCCATCAGAGGCAATCTTGAGGCAGAGCATCTCACAGCGCTGTCTACTGTTCTTATGAAGATTAGTGAGCTTGCTCGCATCTCTGACCCTGTCGAGATCCTGGAGGCCGAAGGTCGGGCGGCCGATTCAATGTCGTCGTCGATCGAGATTCTGATCAATATCGCCAACCGCGGCACGTTCGATGACCCTAACGAGGAATTGGACGACTTGGAA